GCGCAGGGCCTTCATCTCCAGGTCCCGCTGCCCCCACAGCAGCCGCAGGGTGCCGGGGTCCAGGGTCTCGGGCGCCGCCCTGCAATGCCAGCGCCCCTGCTCGGTCAGGCCGCCTCTGCCAGCCGGGGGCTGACCGCCTGCCCCCGCCGCTACCGGTGGACAGAGCTGGACTCGGCGCCCTGGGGGCGGCTGGGCACGTCCGCGGCTGTGCTGGCTGCGGGCTCTGGGTGGTTGCTGCGCGGCTCCTGGCTCCCCGTGGGCGGGCGGCCCTGCTCGGCTGGCTCAGCCTCCCGGTGAGACTCGGGGGCCATCCTCGTGTCCTTGGAGGAGCTGGCAGGGTGGGGCTCTGTGACGCGCTCCTGCCCGGCACCCCGCGGCTCTCCCCACACGGCCACACGCGCACACGTGTGGACCTGCCTGGCACGGAGGTCGCTGAGGGACAGCGTGGCCATGCGCTGGCCCAGTCGCCTGCTTGGCGGAACACACCCATGTCCCTGGGGGGGTCACCCCCTCCCCGTGGCTCCTACCTTGCCCTCCGGGGCCTCAGCCTCAAGCAGGGTTCCCAGAGTGCTGGGCTTGCCCCCAAGGACAGTGTCCCCCAGACACAGAGGCCCAGCCCCTGGCAGTCACCTGTGGTCTGGGAGCCAAGCAGGCCCAGGGAGAGAAAGGCGCCATAGCGTCACCATGGATACCAGGCCGACGGGAGGGGCTATTTGTTACCCCACTCTCCAGGGAGACCCCAGTCCAGGGTCCCCCTCCTGGTCCAACCCAATTGCCCCAGAGGGGTCACTGCTGGGAGGCGGGTCAAGGCGGCCGGTGGGTGTCCCAGTCACTCGGCCCCAGGCCCTGCGGGAAGCCCCCACACCGACTCCCCAGCCTGCCCTGGGCTCTCGGGGGGACTGCGGGGTCCCTGCCCTGTGGGGGAGCCCGGTGACAGGGCCCAGGCGGGCTGGTCTGCAGACCACAGCCCCGGGCCCTGTCCAGCTGGCCTCTCCCGGGCCCGCGAGCCTGCCTGGCCAGCCGCCTGCACCCCGGGCCTATCACCCAGACTTTAATCTCTTGTTCCGGTAGGGCCAGACCAGCAGGGCAAGGCGGGTGGAAC